AAAGAGGCGGGCATCTCCGGCAGGCATCTCGGATTGGATTAGCGGACATCAAATCGGCAAAACAACAGCCAAACGTCAGCAAAAACCACCAATTTGGTGTTGGTAGGGAATGGGTTAGCTGAGAGGCGTGCTTGAAAGTAGACGGAGTGAGTTGGATGAAGGCAATTATTAGTGGAAGAGGTAAAAAAGGAGAAAGAGGAGACAGCAACCAAATACCGTGCCCACAATTATGCTGTCTCTCTGTTTGCGCCAGGAAATCTGATTAAGCAGTTTGTTAACGATGGGGAAACGATTGCGTAGATTAAGCAGACTGTTTGTAGCCGATTTCAGAACATGGTGCTGCGAACGCAGGGAGGACCGAATGGCAGAGGCGGCAGCAATACGCTCAGAGAGGGCCTGATCAGCGTTTAACAGGCTCTGATTCTCCTCCAGCAGGAGTCGCGTTGAGTCAAGACGAGGTTTTTCCGGTGATTTTGTCAGGGCCTAAAAGAAGAACCAAAATACTCTCGTTCAAACAACACCCATCATCTTCTTAATAAGGAAGGAGGAATGAAAAGGCTACTGTAACAACAGCATGAAGATGCGCGTTAATAAATTCTCCCGAGGTTGCAGACTATTCAGGAGCAACGCCACTGTTAGGTCTGTCCTGTACAAAACGTCGACAAAGATGCGCGGGCCTGTATTCTGTGGGCGTCAAGGCCGGTCATCTTGAGGTCTCGCTGCGCCAACAGATTGATCGACTAGTTTGGCCCTAACCCGCGTCTGACGCTGGGCAGATTACGCATACTTGACGGACACTGCAGGGGACAGCAGCCGCTGTGTCGCTATTGTTGTCTAGGTATGCAGCCGGCCACCTATTTTCGCCTAGGTGCAGGCTCCCGCCGCGCCGGACAACAGCGCCTGACTCCACTGCTGATATTTTAGGTCCTTTCTTGACACTGGGGGATGTGGAAAGAGGGTGCGGTGGATGCCGCACACGTCGACCATTGATAAAAACTAATCCACAAACAATTCACCGTCTTTATGCGCGGCACATGGTGGACCTCGTTGGAAGCGACGGTCGAACCGCCATTTTCGTCCAATCAGTATAGACCTTCCTATCACCTTTTTCCTGTATTGCGATGTAGATTTAACAGAAAAAAACTTCTGCAACGATTCCCCGTAAGCGACCTTTATTACCTTTTTGTGCTTGTCTGCTCTTTTATTTCACTCAAATGGTCACATTTCACAAAGATTGACAAATGGCAACCTGGTGAGTTAAGGCGTTGTCTTCTTGTTGTCGAAATAGTGTGGACAGAAAAAAACTAGAATTCTGTTGACCAATGGCCAGAGGGAATCAGTTGCGCCAACGGGCGTTGCACTAAACCGTGTGCATTTTCTAAGTATATGCCCTCAACAATTTAGCAGACACCTATTATCATCTGATCCGCAAGCAATAAACCACATTCCCAAAATAATCGGCTACCTAGTTGTCTAAGCGCACCAGAGGAATATCGTGTTCGACTCACGCATCGCTTGTAATGATCATTGTTTCGATCCAGTTTTGTAGAGGTACCACGGGAATCTGCTATGAAGCAGACACCTTGTTACCGAGTCAGTCCGGAAGGACAGTTACAACGGAGCAAACCGAGAAGACGACTCGATCGCTGGGACAATACTTTTATTCACCTGACATTTCGACATCCATCGCGGATTCATCATCAGAGACATCAGCAGAAACGGAGTAAACCTTTAGAATATGCCAGAGATCATACGCCCGATCGAAGGGGTGAATTCTTCCAGTAAAGACTTATCAGGTGACAGTTGGGAGGAGGAATAATGGTTAGTTCGTGACTTTTGTTGAGCGATCTCTAAGGAGCTTTTGCAAGCTCAAGAGCGTGTCAACACCATATCTCCCGACGTATTACCTGGTTCTTATTCATTCTGGGGGACAATCACATTTATCACAAGAAAAGATAAAAAGCTCCTGTTTAGATGTATGGCTGGGATATTTGAAACCAGCGATAACTTGAAATAAAGGCGATATCACATATTTTGTTACGGGCATGCGCAGGTGAAGTGACGCTCAACAAATTCATTTTGGACCTTCTAGAGGCCTCCGGGACGACGCACAGTCTAGCAAGGTAGAGTATGGATACTCGCAGAGCGGCTGGTTACTTACTACGTTCTTAGGCGGCGGACAGCGGAACGACCCCCGTTGAAGACCGCTTACACGATCAACAGAGGCCTAGATTTGATGAACAAAAAACCACCGACTAGGCGATAGCAACATATGTAGGCACCGTTTAATTGTGATGAGGAAGGTTGATTGCATAATAAAAGGTCGCAGCATTGTTTCGACGGAGGACGTCAGTTATTAAATAGGTTTTGCCGATCGCCCGATATAATTTGTAAGTCGATCTTTCGAGTGACGAAGGGATGCACGAAAAAGCCCCCTTTTTAACTAATGATATTATTTAGGCCATTCCACGCAACCCATGTCCTGTGACAAACCTAATGAACTATTTGATCACCAGCAGCTATGATCTGCGCCTTTTTCGGTTCACGACATAGCGGGATAAGTTCCCGACCAACAGGCACACAAAAAGCTATTAGTCAAGGTGCACAAAAAGCTACGTACAACGATAATTCTTTATATCCTCACTGAGTTCACCTAAAAAGCAGTGTCGGGGCGTATAAATTCCTCTAGAAAACACCCCCTTAGATCTTCTGTAGTTACCAGGTAGTTTAGGTAAAAAAGGCTTTCCTTTTAGAATTATATGAGTGAATTATTCCATTATGTAGGGTGTATCAATTTGAACTAGGCAATAATCTCAGAGCAAAACTGTTGGTACAAAAAGGGTCCGACGACGCAGCTCACGTCCATAGCAGACTGAGTTCAGAACAATGAGTGTACTTACGACAATCTCCCACATGACCACAGGAACGGGCCTCGTCGCCAATTCGCGTGAATGAGGAGAAGTGACAGGTCTATAATACTACTCACCCCGATGCAGACCTATGCCCGGCCGATCTGACCT